TATGAAGTTAAAAAAGGTAAGAAGTCTCAACACGAGAAATCTGGAAACCATCAATATTTTTTACAGAAAAGTTTGAATGGTGAAAAATTGGAACGACCGGATAGTAAAGAAATTGTAAATGGCGTGTTGTGGTTTAGATGCTTGAAATGTAAGAAGAAAGAAATTTATTATGCTTGGTGCGACCATGTATCAAGCGAAAAACATATCAATAAATGTTGCGAGGTTGATTGAAATGGTTTAAGTTATTCTTTAAAATGAATAACTTGAAGCATTTTATATAGATTTTGGCGAGTGGTTTGATTATATGCTGGTGTGGCGCGGGGCGTAAGCAAATGATGAGGTTGTGGGTATGCCGACTCTTGCTATATTATGGCAGCATAGGCCCCAGACAGCCAAAATGTGTTTTCGGCCAATGAAGTGTGGGAGCACTTAGACGGTTGTCGGGTGTGGCTTTCATTCCAGAAATAGGCCGCCCACTGGCAATCTATGATATTGATCGAAGCCAACTGATTGTGTTTCGCCAATGTCCCCCCAATGACCATTTGCATCAGACAACTGCGCCGCCTAATATCTAAAAATATGCTCCGGCAATGAAGCAGCAGCTACACAGCATACCAAAGCCCTCCCCCTGGAAAATCGTAGCGCTATGTTTTTCAGGAACAAATGAGCATCGGGCAATTGTAGCGTAATAATTATACAACAGTACTTTCCACCAACAAAGCAGCAGCTGCACAGCATACCAAGAGCTTGTCCGAGAAAAATCACCTATCGCGACACATATGTTACGCCTTCTACTATCAAATATACAACAGTATTGTTTGGCAACAAAGCACCAGCTACGCAGCATACCCAAGCCCTCTCCCTGGGAAAACATAACGCTATATTTTACAGGAACGAGTCAGCATCAGGCAATTCTACCGCCGTCAACAAAGCAGCAGCTGCACAGCGTACCAAGATCTTTTCTGAGAAAGACATGGCGCTTTATTTTTCGCAGAACAAGCAGGGCGAATCAGTATGAAGCACTTCTACAGCCAAACAAAAGCAGCAGTATTTTCCGGCAAGGAAGCAGCAGCTACACAGCATGCCAAACATTTGTCCCTGAAAAAATGCGGAGAAGCTGACAAACAAGCATCAAACCAATCTTATGTAGACCTTACGAAAGTACTGTGCCTACCTTGCGAAGCTATTGCGAAGGCCCTTGCGAAAGTACTGCGCCTGCCACGAAATCTACACATCACCTTGCGAAATTAGTGTGCCTGCGACGAAGTCTGCACTTGACCGTACGAAAGCACTGCGCCTGCCAAGAAGTTTGCACTTGATCTTTTCGAAAGTGCCGCGCTTGCCGCAAAATCTGCACACCACCTTGCAAAAGGACTGCGCCTGCCACAAAATCCGTACGTGACCTTGCGAAAGCGCTGCGCCTGCCCCTGGCAAACTAATGCGAGAAGTGCGCGCGCGTCCGTGCCAAGGGTCCAGGCCCGTACCACGGAAGTTCCTTCTAAACTTTCTTTGATTAGACTGGCGCTTGTTTCAGTTTGATGACTACTCCAGCCAACCGCCATTTGGTTGGCTGGGGGCTGTATCCTTTCACTCCCACCGGCCGGAGGTCACCGCAGCGGAGGTCCAACTTCGCCAGGCGCACTAGGAATGTTTCACCCAAAGTCGGTCATCAAATCAGAGCTGACCATGTTTCATCACCGACGCCAGCACGTTGAAGGGTTTGCAAGCGAGTTGTTCCGTTTGAAATGCTTGAACACTCAGGCCAGCAAACCAGAAGAAACGCACTGCGCTGAATGCCAGCCAACCGATGCACCACTGCCAACTCGGTTTGTTTGCATGCGATCAGGAAGTGTGCGTCACCGCGCAGTTCCGGTTTTTAGCTTCTAAGTACTGGCCACTACTAGACAGTTTGTGAATTTCTGGACTCGAAAGAGACGTGTTGGCGTTCAAAAGGGATGCGCAAACTCTGAAGTTCATGCTAATTATGTGCCTTGCTTTCGACTCACTTGCATGATTGAGAGCAAGAACAAAACAGTTCCACGTTTGATCAGTACCTGCAACCACATCCAGATATCTCAGTGTACACAACGTATTTTCAGGAAAGGCGTGAAGCAAGTGGTAAGACAGCATGTACCAACACTTGTGCTATATGTCCACCAACGCCCGTCAATCACACCCCATGATTCCATATTTTTGTCCAACCGGTAGAAAAGATGCCTATCGGCACAAAACAGCATTGGCTGTTTGTTGTTTGTGTGGTCTATACCAATTTTACAATATTGAAGAACACGCGGACCTGAATGATAGAAGGTCACAGGTTCTTGAAGGTCCCATCATGTCAATACATATAATGTGAACGCTGGCGAGGATAAATGAATGATTAAAGCTGAGTGTCAGAACTGATTCATCCTGGGAACAGCATCGTAGCATCCTGCAGTTTGATATGAGCTATCTACCTAGGTACGGCTGGTACAATGCACTCATGCCACAATGTGGGTTGAGTTGGTACTCGAAGAGTAGACTGGTATCCAACACATTGATAGTTAGTGCTCAGTATTGCTCAGCCGCCACACAAAGCTGGTCAATGCCACTTGCATCGGCGTCACAATAATTCCTGGGGACTGGTCCAAGGGATGAAACAGGATAACGCGGGATAACAAATATTGCCAATCCTTGAGGGGTTGCTGCCGTAGAAAGCTCCCTTTTGGTTGCCTGCTCTCACCAGGCATCGCGGCTTTACGGGAAACCGGTGTGGCATGAGTCCTTCCAGTGAGCGGCTAGCCATGGAATGTGCTTCGTGCCACGCCTCCAATCCGCGCTGGGACCTTCTAGACTCCGTGGGAGTTGCATCATGCGCTGGGCTCGTGATCAGTTGGCAGGGCAAGCTTAGAAGCCATTATCACTGCCAGCAGCAGTCTTAGGCCAGCTTAGTCGAGAGGCGCTTATTGCATTGTGCGCCAAACGAAAGTGTTTGTCCTATACTAACACCAGTCTGAATGGATCAGTAACTCGCACATTCAAAAGGACCCCGGCCAGTGCCAAAGATGCCGATTGTCACGCTGTTGATTGCCAGGGTGTGTTTGTGCAGGCGACAGCCATTGGCCAACAAAGACGATTGTTTGGACAGCTTATTTTTATATCAGCGCAGGTTCTGACGCAGAGTGGAGACAATGCTTAGGCTGCATGACACCGCCGAAGGCGGGTGAAATTCGAAGAATTTACAGGATGGCCTGGAATGCTATGTGGTGTCTAAGGTGTTGTTCTGAGATGACTTGCATACTCACTGTTTTCGTACTACCCAAGTTGTGTTCCACAATCCAGTGCGCAATTTCCAAAATTTGTTTGTCAGCTCCTGAAAGTCAGGCTGTCCCAAAGAATGTGTGCCGTCACCGTCTTCTGAATAGAGACGAGTCTACAGGTGCACTTAAGGATGGCATTTCCTGGCGCAAAACGCGCAGAGCATGCCCCAGCAGTGGTCCAGAGCCCTTGGTTTACAGCCGACTCGCTGGGCTAGACTATGCTTGGACCGATAGACAAATGTTGCTTGACTATGGTGAACCATTCCCAGCTTTGTTTCAGCGATGCTTCGTAGAAGGGAGTTCCAGTAGCCAAGTGAACCGTCTAAGCATTGCTGTAGCAAGGTCACTGTCGGATTAGAAAGAAGTTATATATTTTAATTGCGCGGCCGCCAAAATGATCAAGATGCGTTCCGGCAGGAAGTCCCGACCGCTTGGTCACGAGGGTTGTTTCGTAGGCATGACGGGTATTCCGGACATGCCCTTGTCGTGGCTGATATTGCTACTGGATCGGAACAAGCGCATTGAATCATTGAATATGACATATAGGTACTACTTTGCTGCCAAACTAGCAACGTGCTGAAGGCTGTGACTGACCCATGCCAGATGTAGCATGTAGGGTTCAAGGGGGCCACCGGGCCACAATTGCCAAGATCGCATACAAGGTAGGATGAGTTAGGATGTAGCAGCAAGTTGTAGCGCGTGAATTTTCCTATCTATAATATTCCTTTTGAAGAGGTGCTCCATGTATCAGGGTGCCACAGCGATGTATCAACATGTTAGATGGCTTTCGCCATTCGAACAGCCTTCAGTTTTGCCCCTCAAGTCCTTAAGGACCGACTGTCCATTAATTTATTGTGCCTGCGACCAAGGAACACATGCACACATTTCCCAAGTGAGAGATAGTGGAAGGAGAAGCTCTGGAGTCAATATTGCACTTTGTTGCGACGGGTGGAATGTCCTAGGAAGGGTCACCATATCGCTGCTATTTATGAATGGTTCAGTGGAAGCACCCGCCTGAACAAATCCAATGCCAGCAGCGGCTTGAAGTTGAGGATAAGATGGTAGGCCCGGCCCTATCCATGACCAGCAGCTTGCAGACACCATTTTGCGCCCCAACCGATTGAACCATCAAGCCGGCAAGTGTTTTCTTGCCTTCGCAACGTATGGGTTTGTTACTAGAGGATACCCCAATGCTTGGTTTTCTTTGGTTGCTTTGTAAAAGCAACCAAGAAGGGGTTCCCATGTCTAAGCCTCCAGTGTTGTGCCAACATCCTGTACACATGAGCCTTTCGCCAAGTCAAGGCCCTTTGAACAGTGGGCCAAAGGCCCGCATGTGTTTTTTCCCCTGGACCAGCGCATTATTTCTTTGAATCCTTTGTTTGATTCGTGATTAGGAATGGAGTTGCTCGTTTTTCCAAGACTCAGATATGTGCAAGTGCCTATCGCGCTGGCTTATTGCAGTGGGAGACCGCTTCCAGCACACAGAAAGACACAGTCAGTTGCAGCAAACAAGTTTGATGAGGCTGCGCGCCAACCATGCTGCTTGATCCATGTTAGCCAATCGCAGTAGGTAGGGGTGTGGCCCCCACAGACGAACCTTCCGATCGCAGGCAACACAATGACTGTCCAACAGGCCATGGCCGCCACAAAGGTTGCTTCCCAAGATGGGCTTGAGCTTCCCATATTTGCCTTGTTGTTTGCCAAAAGCTTGGAGTCACGCTACGTTGTAGCCAACCTTAGCCATGCAACAGTGTGTGACGCCGCCACGTGGCGCGTCCGGCGGACTTGTGAGAACTGAGTAGGTCTTTGCAGAAGGCGTGAAGAATCAGCACGTTGCCATTGTGGTGTACCAGTCTTTCTGTCTGCATGAGTTATGACCTTCATGTTTGCTGTAGATTAGATTCACTTGGTGCTTGTGTTTGTGTGTGTGTGCGTTTTGGTGCGTACCACGGGTTAGATGAACTGCAACCTGCCAGCGGTGGTTGTCAGAGGTGGTTTGAAACCACCACAATTGCATTAAAGGCTGTGGGATTCCTCAATGAGGAATGATTTCCCTTGCTGCTTCGTCTTTGGGGTAGTGGTGCGTGTGGTGCTGTGTTGAGCTTGCAGTGCTGTGCTTTGTTGCTTGTCGCGCGCATGTGCGATCGTTTGCGTGTGGGTGCGTGCGTGCAGGTGCGTGCGGGGTCGCGCAGGTGCGTGCGTTCAAGCACCTGTGCGTGCGTGGGTGTGTGTGTGTGTATGTTTGTGCGTGTGTCTCAGTGTCTCTGTGTTTTTGGGTGACTGTGTCTTTGGGTTGTCTGTGGCTCTGTCTCCGTGTCTATGTGCTTGTGTGGGTGTGTCTATGTCTGTGTGTGTGGCTGTGTGTGTGTGTGTGGTTTTGCGTCTACGTGTGTCTATATCTATGCCCATGTGTGTGTGTGTGTGCCTGTGTCCATGACGGTGTTTGTGTGTGTGTGTGTGTGTGTGTGTGTGTGTGTGTGTGTGTGTGTGTGTGTGTGTGTGTGTGTGTGTGTGTGTGTGTGTGTGTGTGTGTGTGTGTGTGTGTGTGTGTGTGTGTGTGTGTGTGTGTGTGTGTGTGTGTGTGTGTGTGTGTGTGTGTGTGTGTGTGTGTGTGTGTGTGTGTGTGTGTGTGTGTGTGTGTGTGTGTGTGTGTGTGTGTGTGTGTGTGTGTGTGTGTGTGTGTGTGTGTGTGGTGTGTGTGTGTGTGTGTGTGTGTGTGTGTGTGTGTGTGTGTGTGTGTGTGTGTGTGTGTGTGTGTGTGTGTGTGTGTGTGTGTGTGTGTGTGTCCATCTTTGTCTCTGTCGGTATCTCTTGGGCGGGCGGGTGTGAGTGTGTGAGTGTGTATATTTTAGTGCCTCCGGCTCAGGCCGCCGACATCACAAGGTCGTCGTAGGGGGTGTGGGCGGGCTGATTGTTGTATATGTCTCATTTCCCCCCTTTCCCCCCGACTGCCTTTGCCCCCAGATCTTCTCCTCCCTAAGATCTTTCCCCCCCTTTCCCTGCTCAGATCCTTTCCCCCCTTTCCCCCCTAAGGCCTTTCCCCCCCTGAGATCTTCTCCCTTTTCCTCCCTAAGATCCTTTGCCCCCTTTCCCTGTTGAGATCCTTTCCCCCCTTTCCCCTAAGGCCTTTCCAGATCTTCTCCCTTGTCCTCCCCAAGATCTTTTCCCCCCTTTCCCTGTTGAGATCCTTTCCCCCTTTCCCCCCGAGATCTTCTCCCTTTTCCTCCCTAGGATCTTCCTCCCACCTTTCCCTGTTGAGCTCCTTTCCCCCTTTTCCCCCTAAGGCCTTTTCAGATCTTCTCCCTTTTCCTCCCTAAGATCCTTTGCCCCCTTTCCCTGTTGAGATCATTTCTCCCCTTTCCCCCCTACGGCCTTTGCCCCCAGATCTTCTCCCTTTCCTCTAAGATCTTTCCCCCCATTTCCCTGCTCAGATCCTTTCCCCCCTTTCCCCCCTAAGGCCTTTCCCCCCCTGAGATCTTCTCCCTTTTCCTCCCTAAGATCTTTTGCCACCTTTCCCTGTTGAGATCCTTTCCCCCTTTCCCCCCTAAGGCCCTTTCTCCCTCTGAGTTTTTCCCTTTTCCTCCCTACGATGTTTTCCCCCCTCTGGTTGAGATCCTTTCCCTCCTTTCCCCCCTAAGGCCTTTTTTCCTCCGCGATCTTCCCCCTTTTCCTTCCTAAGATCTTTTCCCCCCTTTCCTTGTTGAGATCCTTTCCCGCCCTTTCCCCCCTAAGGCGTTTTCCCCCCCAAGATCTTCTCCCTTTTCCTCCCTAAGATCCTTTGCCCCCTTTCCCTGTTGAGATCCTTTCCCCCCTTTCCCCCCTAAGGCCTTTCCCCCCCTGAGATCTTCTCCCTTGTCCTCCCCAAGATCTTTTCCCTTGGTTGAGATCCGAGATCTTCTCCCTTTTCCTCCCTAGGATCTTCTCCCACCTTTCCCTGTTGAGCTCCTTTCCCCCTTTTCCCCCTAAGGCCTTTTCAGATCTTCTCCCTTTTCCTCCCTAAGATCCTTTGCCCCCTTTCCCTGTTGAGATCCTTTCCCCCTTTCCCCCCTAAGGCCTTTTCCCTGCCTGGGACCTTCTCCCTTTTTCACTGAGATCTTTCCCCCCCCTTTCCCTGTTGAGATCCTTTCCCCTCTTTCCCCCCTACGGCCTTTCCCCCCGCTGAGATCTTCTTCCTATTCCTCCTTAAGATCCTTTGCCCCCTTTCCCTGTTGAGATCCTTTCCCCCCTTCCCTTTAAGGCCTTTCCCGATCTTCTCCCTTTCCTTCCTAAGATTGTTTCCCCCCTTTCCCTGTTGAGATCCTTCCCACCCTTTCCCCCCTCAGGCCTTTCCCCCCCCCTGAGAGCTTCTCCTTTTTCCTTCCTTAGATCTTTCCCCCCTTTCCCTGTTGGCCTTTTTTCTCCCAGATCTTCTCCCTTTCCGCCCTAAGATCTTTTCCACCCCTTTCCCTGTTGAGATCATTTCTCCCCTTTCCCCCCTAAGGCCTTTGTCCCCAGATCTTCTCCCTTTCCTCCCTAAGATCTTCCCCCCCCCCCCCGCTGAGATCCTTTTCCCCCTTTCCCCCCTAAGGCCTTTCCCCCCCCTGAGAGCTTCTCCCTTTCCTTCCTAAATCTTTTCCCCCCTTTCCCTGTTGGGCTTTCCCCCCTAAGTCCTTTTCTCCCAGATCTTCTCCCTTTCCTCCCTAAGATCTTCCCCCCCCCTTTCCTCCCTAAGATCTTTCCCACCCTTTCCCTGTTGAGATCCTTTCCCCCCTTTCCCTCCCAAGGCCTTTTCCCCCCTGAGAGCTTCTCGCTTTTCCTTCCTAAGATCTTTTCCCCCCTTTCCCTGTTGGCCTTTTTTCCCCAGATCTTCTCCCTTTCCTCCCTAAGATCTTTTCCACCCCTTTCCCTGTTGAGATCATTTCTCCCCTTTCCCCCCTAAGGCCTTTTTGCCCCAGATCTTCTGCCTTTGCTCCCTAAGATCTTTCCCCCCCCCCCCCCAGTTCCTTGTTGAGATCATTTATTTCCCCCCTTTTCCTTCTAAGGCCTTTTCCCACCCTCAGTTCTTCTCCCTTTTCCTCCCAAAGATCTTTCCCCCCCTTTCCTCCCTAAGTCCTTTTCCCTGAGTTCGTCTCCCTTTGCCTCCCTAAGATCTCTTCCTTTCCCGCTTAAGATCCTTGCCCCCGTTTCCCCCCTAGGCCTTTTCCCCCCAAGATCTCCACCCTTCTCTTCCCAAAGTTTTTTTCTCTCTTTCCCGATTGAGATCCTGTCCCCCGATTGCCCCTTAGGGCCTGTTCCCCCCGAGAAAGATTTCCCTTTTCCTCCCAAAGATCTTTTCCCCCCTTTCCCCCTTAAGGCATTTTTTCCCCAGATCTTCTCCCTTTCCTCCCTGAGATCTTTCCCCCCCTTTCGCGGTTGAGATCCTTTCCCCCTTTCCCCCCTTCATTTCCTTCACCAGCATGGGCAACATCCCCAGCATCACTTGCATCATCCGCATCCTTGGCAGGCGCTGATGCGGATGTTGCAGGTGATGCTGGCGATGTGCCGCTGGAGCTGCTAAGGATGCGAAAGCGCACCCGGGGGGAATCGAACACCCCAATGTTTTT